AGAGTAAGTTGCCCTGCTCCAGATTGTAAACAGTGGAGAAAAGACTAGACGCTGAATCCAACTTGCTGGCTAGTTCCCACTTCTTTCACGGACTAACCTGGCCCTCCCATGTCTGCGGTACTACATTCTGTCAAGTGAAGTCAGTGTCCCAGGGAGGGAGGCCAGCCTCGGCCTGGCTGAGATGGGGCAGGGCGGCGTGTGTGGAGGAGGCCATCTCTTCCCCAGACAGCTGAAGCTTCCCTTGGCCCGCAGGGTTACAGAGGCACAGTTGCCCTCCTTAGTGAGAGCCATTATTCAGGCCTAGATCACCCCGTTACACTCTCATCCATGGGGCACTGGCTCAGTTTTTGTCAAGCACGTGTTTGCAAGTTTCCAGGTAGAGAACATCGGGCAAAAACATGTCCCCTGTACCAGAGCACAGAGCACAGGACCAGGAAGTGAACCAGAGAAGGCAGCCACCCTCAAGACCAACGCCTTACAGTTCACAGAGAACAGTCACCAACAGGACTGCAATTTGCCCCATGGGGCAGGGCTGAGTGCATCACTCTCTCTTTGAGCTGGCAGCTCTCCACAGGAGGGGCTGTAAGTCCCCAGGAGGGACCGAGCCTCTTTAACCTCCACGGGCTTTCTCTGGCCACATGCTCCTCAGGGCGGCCCTTCCCTGATCCTTTCCTCCTGCCATGTGCCTGCACTTCTTCTAGCACCTGAACAAGAATATTTCGCCTGGTCTGGTACCATGAGTACTGATCCTAAGCTACTCTGCCAACTTCCTGACCGTCTCTCTACTTCTAACCTTCCTGCAGTGCATTTAACACAGAGCTGAACCGAGTTAAGGTCCAAGTGGAGAGACCCAGGGGGGCCCTGGAGTCGGGAGACCCAGGGCATGGGGGTGTCACATCCTGCGACAGGAGGAGGTCCTGGCTGAGGATACAGGAGGCACCAGACTACGTGGGGAGATGATGTGCTTGCGTACGTGGGCCGAACCTCCTGAGAGCGGCATGGGCGCTGAAACCAGGCTGATGATTCCTTTTTTCTCTGGCCACCAGACAGCTTGCAGGGAAACGTGCCGAGGGCGAGGGCCTTCCCCACCTATCTGGGGCTCTCCTGCCACCTCCTCTGTACTTATTTTCCTTGACTCTGACTTTTCAACTTTTCTTTGCCCATATTTCTGTTTTATTATTTATATTTTTGTGAGGGTCTTCAGATCCCTGAGGTATTAGGTGAGGTGTAATAAGCACATGAATAACAGCAGGACTGAAACTGGAGCTTTCCAGTGAATGTTGGGCTCTATTTTGAGATCACCAGTGGGTTCTGCTTGTTCAAATGTGAGCTTGAAAGGGAACGAGGCGATGGGTCCAGAAAAACCAGGTTACACTCTGACTCCTCAGGAGCTCAGACGGTGAGGAGGAAGCAAAAGAAGGCAGGTGAGGAGGGTGCCATTGGAGGTGGCATTAGTCAGCAGAGTCAGGGTGAGAGCAAATCTCATGGAGCAGAGGACGTGGGTAGGGCCATGTCATGACTTTTGCCGGCCCCGGGCACTTTTGCTTCTGTGGGCTCCTTCCTCATCAAATATATCAGAAATGATATTTTATGATTGCTGGTAGAAAGATGACTCTAACCCTTGCTGGATTCATGATTATATATTCATTTTTTTGGTCTGAATTTAAAAGAAAAATTAAAATATTTTCTCAGCCCCTGAAAGTATCGTGGGCCTAGTCTGTGGCGAGGTAGGCCCTGGACGGGGTCATGGGAGCTGGCTCGGGATGACTTGGAAAGCGCTGCCTCCTGGGAACTTTCCCTCAATAGGAAAAGCAACTTATGCCAGCTGGCAGCTTGGGGCCTGGGTTCTTCATGCTTCTGCCTCGTGGCGGGGGTAGCGGAGAGGCAGATAACTTCCATTGAGTGACCGTGGAGATCAGCTCCAATTTTACTGCTTCAGTTTTCAAAGGGGGAAGCCAAGACTCAGAGGAGGAAGCTGTCTGATTTCCAAAATATGAGAGGACATTTAGAGTAAGGATGCTGATACTGTCCTCTGGGGTCTGAGTAGCATGTGGTGCCATTGATATGAGAGTTTGTGAGTGCAACCTCACCCCACAACGTGGCAGGGGTCTCACGGATGTGAAGCCCACTAATTTAGAGTTCATGTGACTGATGATACACATCTGAGTTTATGTTTGCCTCTGTACTGTCTATGAAGAGGGGATATATAAAGAAAAATTAAAATGTAAGCAGAATGAAGAGAATGTTTAAACTACCCAAGTAGTTTGTTATTTTCAAGACCTTTAGAAGCAACAATTTATGTTGTGAATCATCTAACGATAAACTTGTATGCTACACCATAGGTAACACTTCTTTAAAATAGGTTTCCCGAGACTTTCACTAAGCAGGCTATTATGAAGAGAAAGCAGGAAATCTCTAATTCTTAGAAAACAAAAACTTTAGATCAGCCCAATGTGGCCTAGATTTGTGAGTGTTTTCTGACTTTTTTTTCGTTGGACTGAAATGGCAAATGACGCAAACTTTTCAACTGCTAGTTGTGAGTGGACCTTGCAAATCTGTATTAAATGACAGCCACCAGCAGCAAGAGCTGGTACTAGTGATTGCAGCTTAAAGGAAGAAAAACAAACAAGAAAACACCTAAAAACAAAAGCAGTAGCAAATAGCCCTCTGTAACCCTGGGGGCTTTGGGAGGAGGGGTGGGTTCAGTACGACTGAACCTTACGTGCTTAAATGACACCGTAATGAACTTGGGATGTGTTACAGTAGACGTTGCTTAATGGAGTTGCCTCCCTTTTTCTGTTGGACTTAACATTCCAAAATATTATACTTCTGAGGACCCCTGCTTCTGGGACTTCCTGCTTTCACGAGAAAGAATGAATTTAATTGAAAGATTGATCAGGATCATGAATTGCCATGTTTCATTTTTTTTAATAATGAAAATCCAGAAGAGTTTAAAATATTCTTAGACACACCTAGTTTGACAAACACCATGGACCTTCACGTTTCTGTGGATTCACACATGAGCTAGCCAGCACCTCAGTGCTGGTTGGCCCCTTTTGGCACCAGAACACAATAATTTATTAAGCTCCAATACTTCATAAGTGTGCACAAATATCATGCAACATATGACCGTATCACAAACAGAAAGTATATTAGAGTCGTGGACTTACACAAAACATCTTGTAAACAAAAAGGAAGAGATTGGTATTTTCTGTACAAAATATGCAGGTTTTTCTTTTTTTTTTAATAATCTGTAAGATGCATCATACCTCTGGCATTTTCAAAAAGTGAAAACTGTATAAAAATAAATATTCTATGTACAAACACACACACAGGCCAATCCCAGGTTAGAGTCCTCACTGCAAAACAAGAGCAAACACGAAACATGGAGTTAGTGTTGTTGAGCCTCTGGGTGTTTATTTCCCTTTTGGGAAAGGAGGTAGACGTTGTCCTGGGTTGGACAGGAAACTGGGGCGGAAGACCCTGATGTAGACAGTTCTCACTCTGAGGGCGTGAAACCACTTTCACCTTCCAGCCACTGCCTTTCATGGCCACTAGAGGGCGCTTTCTGTCCATGCTGCCTTTGGAGGCACAGCTGTTGAATCATTGCATTTTCCCAGACTGAATTTATGGTGTGAGCCAATAGACACCAGGCTCTCTAGTTATTTCTCCAAGACACTGTAGCCTTGACAGTGGCTTTTCTTCTCTTGCTAAGCTCAATCATCTCTATCTCCCAACCATCAGCAGTGACCTTGAAGAAGAAACTCTTATTCTTCTGGGGCAAGGGGTCTCTTATCTGCTTTAACTAAGTCTAGGGGAACTCGCCAGAGGGTGAGGCATGGCCTGAAGGGTGGATTCTTGGGGAGGCATCTCTCCTGAGTGCTGAGCTTTCTTTTCTCTGGTTAAGGGGGCTTTAGGTACCTGAGTGAGTAGGTGCTCCTGGGGTCTTGGTGGTTTCATTACTTTTACCCCATCCCATGAACTAAATGAGATTCTGGGCATTTAGCACAGAAGAGCATATTGTAGGTGTGACTATGCTGTCACTAGGACAAGACTGGATTAGGGAAGCAAATCCACCTCTCTTCCTACTGGCTAAGGTCACATGAAGTTACACTGGGGTCTCCAAACCTATTGTGAGGATGAACCAACACCTTGAGACCACATGGAGAAGGGCTGTGAGAAGTCCTCGAAGGGGAGGCAAAGTGGAGGCAGGTTGTGGAGGGACAGCATGGCAGCTGCTACCTTTGCAGGGGACCACGCTGGGCTTCTGGGTTAGCAAACCAATGGCCCTGGTCAGGCTGGAGGGCCTTGTGCTTTGGGGGCCCTGGCTAAGTGGGTGATTTCATGCAAGGGCATAGCCCTGTGGTATCAGATGGCTTTAATGATGGCAAATATCGAGGCAAGTGTGAATAAGTGAAAATTTATTGTTGGTGGCAAGTCTGGGCTGCAAGTCTCACACGCGGAAGCATAAAGCTCAGACAGCTTATGTTAAAAGGAAGGGTAAAGAGGTTAGCTGGCCAGTCTCTCTGCAGAGGGATAGAAGCCATTTGAGTTTATAGTTTAAGTAACTTAGATGTTCTATGTCCAGATAAATGTCATCATATGGCTTAAATGACCTCGGATGAACACTATGAATATAGCTAATGATAACTAATTTTAAAACTAATTTAAAAAAGGTCTAGAGCTCCTTGGAGGAAAGGTACTATATAAATTAACCACACAGCTATAAAGATATCATCTGTGTGACTACATGGAAATTCCACAATCTGTTTTGCCGAAGTCCTAAAAAGCATTTTTGAAATGTTCTCCAAGTGCGTTCAGTACATGGGATGTTGAACGGGCACCCTGCCTTTGGGACTGTTTCCTTTTTTGACTGATGTCCTGCTGCCTCATCTGCAGACAGGCCCAGGACAAATTGCGCATGCTTATCACACTGTTGAGGATGGAGCCCCGAGTACACCTGTGCCCTCGAGGCACTGCAGACCACTGGGGGGCCTTACCTTGTTCCAGCAGCCCTGGACTGGTAAGCCGTCTTCGCCCTGCAGTGAGGAGGGAAGGCACATGGCTCAGATTCTCCCTGATGGCCCATCAAGCAGGCAGGACGGAGGGAACAAGGGCCACAAACATTTTGGCAGCCGGTCAGGATGTCATCCACCTACTATTATCTATTTCTTTTCTCTCCCCCAGGGCAAAGCCTCAGAAAAAGGCAGGGAGCAAGTCTACATGTCTTTCCATTGACTAAGGTCACGTGCAGTTATAGTGCAAGGCCAAGAGGGGCTGTCCTAGCCTGTGAGGTCAGCGAGCAGAGGTGACCTGATAGCCATGGGAAGAACAGCCTAGAGACCCCCTGGTCTCTGCTCTAGCTATATTGAATGCTGGGTGTTCATGGGCAAGTCACTCAGCACTTGGAGGCCTCAGATTCCTCCTCCGTAAAACCTGGAGAAGGCATAGCTGTGTGTAATGATAGCTAAGATGCCCCCCGCCAGTTCTCCCATTCTCTTACTTTCTCTCCTCCTTAACAGTGGGAGGAGATTAGGAAATTCCCACATGCTGATCAATAAGGAGGAGGAGGGTGTACAAAAGGACAGGCAACCTCACAGTATTGCAACATGGCCCTGAGGTGCCTTCTGCAAGGCAACAAGGGCTCGCTGAGAATTTTAAGGGAAGAGGCAGCGGAAGGATGGGAATCAACTAGCTGCCATTATCCCCTTTGCTGGTGGCACCCATGGAGCACCTGCAGCCTCAAGATGTCCTATCTTCTCTGGCCCTGATGTCCTGCCTCTCTGTCACACCCTGGGGGAACGTAGGAATCTCTGAGAGATAAGATGGGAGGTGGAGACTGAACCAGGGCAAAGGTATGGTTCTCTGTTTACATCTACTAGAATTACAGCCTAGATCCTAGAATTCCAGGCTCCAGGGCAAAGGAAGAGATGTACACAGGGTTTCAGGAGACCGGAGCAAGTGGTCCGCCCCAACGAGATCGAATGGGAGCCCTCTGTGCCCTGGACCAATTTCATCCGCCCATGACAGGTGCTTAAATGTCTCACCTGGCATTCAGCAGGCAGCCGACCCAACACGGAGGGAAGAAATCTAGTTATTTTGTACTAAAAATTATGATCGATATCTCCCCCTCCCCCCATGTCCCCAATAACACAATGCAGGGAAAACAGTAATGAAATATAAAGGGAAGAAAAGTGCACTCCATAGCAAAATTAATAGACAAATGACACATCAACATGGGATGTTATTGGAGAAAATGCCAGTTTGCATTAAGGGTCAAATAAACTTGACCTTCATTGTCCCCTCTGGGTCAGGGAGGGTCTGCAGGGGGAGGTGGTATGTTCCAGGACTTCATAAAGACCTTCTGCCCACTTCCCCAGCCCGCCACAATGTGCCACTTCACGCGGACTCTGGAAAGGAGAGGAGCCTCCGTGGGCCACAGCGGCGTTCCCATTGGCACACGATTGGTGGCAGAGGAGAATGGTAACGTGTGAGAGAGAAGCGGGGAGGCCAGGGTTGCAGCCGGCAGAACTCAAGGTGCTCAGCTGGTGGGAGGGATGTGGCAGAGGGGACGCCTGACTGATGATTAACGGAGGCGCTTTGGAGGTATGGAGAGATTCCACAGCTGAGAAACGTGTCTGTGCGTGCTGCATGCTCGGGGTTCAAGAGGCCGGGCCAGTGGTGGGGCTGCAGGTGTGGCGAGCAAGGGTTTTAGAAGTAAGCACAGGGAGCATGCTACTCCGCATGCTTATTCTGGTTCTCCTTTTGTCGTTGTTCTTAAAAAGTCTATGAAAAATCCCTTGAAGGGATTCTATGGTCATCTCTCAGGGTCACACAGCATATTTTAAAAATTATTTTTTCTCTTTTGTTCAAAGGTCATTCCTGTGTGTTTCCAAGGTGGGGATGTGGGGCCAGGAACGCTCATCTGACCGTTAGTGGTATGAAAATAGGTCCAAGAACTCCGAACCTCCTGGGGAAGTTTAGGAGAACAGTAACCTTTTGAGCTCATTGGCTTGGAGTGAAGTACCATCTTCTGCTTCCCTTGCAGGAGTTGAAAGGGAAGCTGTGGAGGCCTGGAATGTCTCTACCTAGAGAGGGACTGGGCCTGGTGGAAACAGAACTGCTGCCACATAGTCTGGAACATGCTTGAGAGAGGGGTCCTAAATGCCTCCCTTCCCTCCCTGCCTCTATGTCCCCTCCTTTCTTTCTTAATTACATTTTCAGCCTTTCTACACTCTTCTAGACTTTTCAGTAGTGAACCAGCTAAAGGTGAAAGAAAGAGAAACCAGGGGAAGGTCTTGTAATATCTTTTGGGATTTAAGCAAAAAAGGACAAACCCTTTAGGATCTAAAATACTGATCCCCTAGATCAGCCAGTGTCACCAGGGCAGCAATCCCAGACCTAGTCTGGACGAACGGGCAGGGTGACCACTTCCTCTATCTTGGTTCTAGAACTTCTCAGTGTACCCCGTGTTTATGAGTATGCCCACATGTCCCTTGACAAATCGTGAGATGCTGAAGCAGAGAGGGATGTGAGGCCGACTCAGGCATCTAATTCACATGTTGTGCCAGGTGCTAAGCCAGTGCTTGCCAAACTAACTGCAGTGTTTGCAGAAAGAAAAGTCACTGTTCCTAAGAACTTGTCCAGAGAATCCAGTTTCCTAGTTTTCTCTCTGGTGGCAGATTTGTCTGGTGGCAGTTTTGAAGGGAGGATCGGGTGCAGCCAAAGCTGGCTTTAGATGTTGAGGGATGGCCCACATTAAGGTGATGTGCTTTTGAAGCAGCTGCAGGAGGAAGCCAAGAAAACATCCTGGCAAACTTTGCATGCAAAGAGGAGGGCGTGGTGGGAGCCTCTGAAAACCAGACAAGGCAAGGTGACCTTTGGTGTCTACAGAGAGAAGAAGCAGGAAGTGGAGACTGGATGGATGGAGCAAGAGCGTGGAGGGCAGCTGGAGAGGCACGCAGGCATGAACCACACACGTGGGAAAGCCCAAATCGGCCATGCAGGCAAGGGAGGGTGATGCCATACCAATGGGCACGGGGCATCCAGTCCGTCCAGCCCTGGTAACCCCGGCTCCCCTTTCTCTCCTTTAAAACCTCGGTGTCCCTGTTCACAAAACCAACCACGATGATTATTCAGGTCAAGGCTGGCCAGCTCCGATTGTGGAGTGGAGAGGCCCAGTCCTACCCTGGCCAGGATGCAGGACCTTAGAGGCATCTACAGGTAGGGTCTCAATCACAGTTGACTCCCAGCTCCCAAGTTCAATCTTTATGCTCTCTTTGGCTTCCGGGAGGGTTGAGCTTTGAAACATACAACAGGCCCCTCTCCCTTTACAGACTCACTTAAAGTAAATACAGATGAACTTCAACGTTAATGAATCACAATTTTTCAGAACCTTCGAATGGATTGCGAAGGCACTTGAGAAGCCCAGCTGATGTGCCATGGATCATTCCTTATCGGCTTGCTTGGGAAAGCTTCCTGGGGTGTCTGTCTACCTATTTTGATCTGCAGGTTTTAACTGGGTGGCTTATGGGCATTGGGAGACTGTGTATTAAAAGCCCCTTTTCTGGCCTTGTTCTGCCCAGTTGGGGCACAGGTGTCCCTCAGGAGATGCTTGGGTGTCCTGCATCCTGACTGAGTGAGGATTCCAACAGCTTGAGCTGCTAGCCACAGAACTGGCCACAAAACGAAGAAGGCAAATGCATGGCTCACAGATGCTATACTGGCTTCCAAAGCCATCTTGGAGCTAAGATCCAAGGCCTTCTCCCAAATCCCTTTCCTTGGGGTCTCTCCATTTCCACACATCAATTGTTCTGCATCTTCAAAGGAAAGGGATTTAGCCAGAATTATTTGCAGCTGTGGTTTTAGGGCAAAACCAACGGCAGGCAGCATTTCACCGGCCAAATGCAAAGATAAATTTTGGTAGCATCGGTGTCGTTATTTGGTTCTCATCTTAGTTTATTTGCCTTCTTTGTTTCCAGCTTGCAAACTTCAAGGAAGAAAACCAGAACAAGACAAGTGATAAATTTAAACATACCAATGGACAGGGGGCATCTAATCCAGGCGCTCCTTGGTCTCCCTTATCCCCTTTAGGCCCTCTAGAGCCTTTCTTCCCCCTCTCCCCCTGTAAATAATGGTTTAGTCCAAGAAAAAAAAATAACATCAAAACTTTAGGATCATCCATGTGTTAAGGTTAGAGATAGAAAAAGAAAAAATTAAAGTGGGAAAAATAACTTCTCTCTATTAAGATGGTCTCCCCAGTAGGATTTGGGGTCACTACTCATCCCTACCTTTTTAAAAACCAGAGGATTTGGCTAAGGCTGGTGAGGAGGGAAAGGGAAACAGTAGGGCTCTGAGGTAGAGGTGAAGGGAAATGCAGATGGAAGATACTGGTGGCCAGCCTTGCTAATACTGAGCCCAGAGTGGGTCTGTGATGAACAGGGAGACTCACTTCCTTCTCTTTGAGGGTCCATTTTGAGGTCCAAAGACTTTGGCCTCACAACCTGTTCCAACTGGTTTTCATCCCTTTGATATTCTATTAGGAGGCAAGGCGATTTTGTTTCAAGCCCTGGGGTGTATGTGTGTGCATGTGAGTGTGAACAGGGCATCCATAATTGTGTGAAACTACAGGGTTGTGCATGATTGTATGTATGTCTGTGTGCATACATGAGTGTGTGTATGCGCTTGGGCATGTGTATACAAGTGTGAGTGTGTACTTGTGCATATGCATACAAGTACACATGTGTACGTGTGTGTCCAGGGCTCACGAGTGGCCTCTGGTTCTCAGATCTGTCTTCCCATTCTATGCGTGTCTCTGGTCCATCCTGGTCTGAAGCTACAGGCAGCTTATTTGTACGTGGACAAGTTAGTTCAGGAATTCATTTGTTTTTGAAAAGTGTGTTTCTAAACATTGTTTTTCTAAATTGAATCCTATTTTGTATGTGTCGAAGTCACTCTTCATTTTAAGAAAGGCCGTGGAGAATTCTTTGTAATGAATTTGAGTTTGAATTTTCACATATTAGGTTTTCTTATAAAACGGCCAAGTGTGCCCCTGGAGTGCCTTCCTCTATAGGGCGCTTCTCTATGGCAGGCCGATTGATACTTCCACAGTGTCACTCCAGGGCCACAAGATCTTGACGGCAAGTGAAATACTGATGTCAGGGCAGGTTCTGCCTATAACAAGCGGTGTGACTTTGGGAAGTTATTTAACCTTTCTTAGCCTCAGTTTCTTCACCTATAAAATGCAGATAATAACACCTGCCTCAAAACTTTGTTGTGAGGCCTTTGGGCCTATTAAGTGCTTAATAATGGCACATACTATGTGCTCCGTAAATAACAGCTGCTTCATAATGATAACAATAATGATCATTATTTCTTGTTAGCCAGTATGAGGGCCCATCTGCTGCCAGAGATATGGTCTTGTGGTGTCTACTGTGCTCCAGTAATGGAAGGCCAAGGGTTCATTAGAGGGAGGTAAAGGATAAAAATATTTTTGATGGATCTTCGGAAATTATTTCGATTTCTTGATTCCAGAGTTTCTCTGTAATTGGCAATGCATTGTTTTCAGTTTTCTAAAATGTAAATGCTTACTTAGAAAATAACACGTGTTTAAGAGAAAACACACATATGTACATTAGGTGTGCGTGTGTTGGCTCTGAGATACACACACCAACGAGAACATCATAGCATAAATAATTCCCAAACAGTGGACAAGCAAGACAATATGCTATTTGGATAGGAAGCCCCCCCAGTAAACTTTCTCAGGAATGTGGCCCTTCGTTCTGCTTGGGTCAGGCCAGGGTAAAAGTGAGCACAGTTTCCTGAGTTCAGGGGTGGGCAAAGCTCCCTAAGATTGGGGGATTCCAAGTCCCAGATGATTTGCCTGTGGGTAACAGAGGGTTGGCTGGTCCTGACTTTCAGGATGGGTAACTACACTATGGGCATCATGTTCTCGGGGCACAAGAAATGGCTTTAAACTGGGTGCCCTTTGAAGACATTAAAATAGTAGCTGTACCCGCATCCTCCCTGTTCTTACCCCTCAAAGAGTGACACGAAAGGGACCTTGGCAAAGAGAGACTTCTAGCTGGTATGGGAAAAGGGACAAGTATAGTCAAGCAGTAGAAGTTCCTTTAAAAAAATTAATGTGTAAAAAAACTGATATTAGAGGAAATAAATTGAAGCTGGGGGAGTGGGAGGGAAGTGATAAGGGATACAGGATTATTGTAACATAGTGAACAATCTAGGGGGAGAAATATTGAAAGACTAAAGGAAGGAAGAGGCAGGCCCAGGCCAAAAGAGATAGGAGAGGAAGGAGAGGTAAGGAGGCAAGGGGGGGCCTGGGGAAGCAAGATGCGCAGACACACACGCCTACGGCCACACATGTGTGCATGCACACGCACACACGCACACACATGCACACACATATCCCCCGCCCCCCTCGCCCCCGAAGGCGTGTTTCAGAGTGACAGCAGCCTCGCTACATGCACTCAGACCTTTCAGTTGGCTGGCTTGCAGGCACCTCCAACTTAACACCCAATTTTCCTGATGCTCAAATTGCCAAATTCACCCTTTACTCTTTGACTGACTTTTTCATCCTAAAAGTGGCTTCTGGGCCAAATTCACAGGGCTGTGAAGGAATAAGAGTGCTCCTAGTGACAAGGACAGAACACTGTTTTCACTGGCATTTACATCCCCTAAGAAAACTGCCCGTTTGGGGCCCTGGGCCTTGGCTACCACCAGGACCTTCCTCCTTTCAGAGTTTCTCTGTAATTGGCAATGCATTGTTTTCAGTTTTGAACAGGAAAGAATCTCCAAGACTATCTTCTGGTGAGACACTGAGAAGCATCGTTTTATGATTGTGTCTTTGGTCACTGTACTATAGAACAACGGCTTGCGGTGCACCCACCAGAGACTCTCTGATGGGGTCCTCCTAGCATGATGTGCAATAAAGTTTGGGAGTTGTTTTATAGGCAGCCCCCCTCAACACTCTGTGGGGGAAGGGGGCTTTGAGCATCTCCAGCTTCACCTTCACCAGCAACAATGAAGCTCCTTAGACTGTCATCTAAGTCCTTCTGGCTGTTTACCTTGACCAAAATGTCTATATTCTGAGCTTTTAGGCATCAGAAAAAAAACCGTCCATGGCAAAGTGTTGACTCTGCTTGGAACTTTCTTTGTTTTGGAGGCTTTATTTTCAAGACCTCACATCTACCCTCAACATCCTGTTAGTCTGGTGTTACAAAGAGGTCTGAATGAGGAGGCAAGGTGTAGGGGCGACTCTTTCAGGACATTCTGGCATCCTGAGCGTCGAATCTCTTAGAGGGACAGAATGAGCTTGTTCTTTGATTTGAAAACCTGCTCTTTGGATGAAGACAGTTGGAACTTTATGCCATACTCAAAAGAAGGTTCATGAGACTTCACTGCTTTCCGGCCTTTGCTAAGTGACATATTGCTAATTTACATACAGGATGGGGGAAGTGTATAAGGGCTTAGAGAGGGGAATTAAAAAAGAAATATCTTCCCATTGATTCCTGGAGCCTTATTGGCTCATTCAGTGGCCTTGGTTCCTTAAGCACCAGAGCCCCTGGACTCCCACCTCCCTCCATCTCTGACATGGCCACCTGCCTGCCCTGCCTCCACATCTAGAGCAACACAGTCACCACGCAAAGGAATAGTTTTGCAGCCCTTAAATGGCTCAGTGCCTCAAGCCAACTGAAAGAGTCTTCAGTAATAGGTTCAAAAAGTATTAATTGAATATAGTAAAGAAAACCAGAACACTTTAGAAATAAATTAGAAAGAAGGTTAGTATGCCAACTAGGAGGTGGAATGATCAATTTTTTTAGTGGCCTAAATTCTTTGATGCCACAATAATGAAGGTGGGCTTCTCAGCCTGCCTTAATAAGCTGGCACATTTTTGGAAGTAGGTCTTTTAATTCCAGTTTCTGGAGTTGGACTTCTCATGGACAGTTTGGTATAAGCAGCTCTGCCTGCTTCTTCTTGTTTATAGAATATCTGAGACAAACTGATTTGCTTTTGACCAGCTGCCAGGAGAACTTAGGGATACAGACGTGCTCAATAAATACATCTTAACGAAAGAGACTAGAATTGGTGCTAGATATAAGAATACAGATTCTGTCACTTTCTATTCATGAACAAGGTCATCGATGTTCAAAGATAAGCTGGAAGACCTAGGTTTTAGAAGCTACCTGCTCTGCCTCTAACTCTCTGTGGGAATTCAGTACATTTTATCATTGCTCTGGGCCTATTTCTCCATCTGTTCTTGCCCGCTCCTCTTCCACCTCTAAGATCCTTGGATAGTATGACCTGCTAGAAGACGCTTTCGGGCCTCTAGGGGGCGTGCGTCACACTCCGATAACCACTGTGATGAAGCATTAGATGAGACATCCTAGAAAGGAACCCAAAGGTTATCTCTTGGCCAGATGAAGTTAAATGGTCTCTGCTGGACTCAAGTGTGTCATGCGTCATATACATGGCTATTACGTGGCTTTGGGTACTGTGGACATTCGATAACTGCGTCCTGGTGAAGACGGTAGAAACCAAGGGAGGCCAAAGGTCTCGGAAGGCACAAGTCATTTCATCGTCCTGCTGACTCTTTCCATGAGAAATAATGGCTGCAAAAAGGTTGACTGCTTACAATAGCTGTGTGCTTGTTCTCGGAGCTGGAATTTATTTTCTCTTTCACCAGTGGCCTGGGATGCCTGACAAAACTAAGTTTCAAGCAACAGTGGATTTAAAAACATCATTTAGGAGCCTATTAACAGGGCACCATAGAGATTGCTGGGCACGTGACTCCTGTCACTGATGGCCACCGTGGGATTTAGTCTTCCTTTGTCATGTGGAAAAATACATGTTTCAATTTCAGGATCAGGCCCTAGGCTCCCTGTATGACAGGGATTAAGCCTCTCACTATAAAGCCTTTTAATTTACGATGATTGATCAGGAAAAACTGTATTTGCTGTGTTAGGTCAGAAATCCCCACTTGGTCATTCCACCACATCATGAAGACATTAGTAACCAGAGCCAAAGTGCAAGGGGTCAGACTTACCCGGTTTCCTTTGTCCCCGGGTGGTCCATGCAAACCCTGCAATAAATCAGAGAAATGAAGACACGTTAATGAAAAAACACAGAATGGCTGTACAGTCCTTCCTTCCAGGCTCATAAAGCTCTTCCCTGATGCCTAATTCATCAGAGACAGATTTAATTATCCCCATTTTACAGAAGAGGGACAGAAGGGCTCAAGGAACTTGACCTACGGACAAATAATGAGTTATGGGCAAAGCCAAGAGCATGGTTCTGATTTTCTTGCTCTGCAGCCAACATCTTGCATGTGGCTGTGTTCTAGATCACTCGAGCTGAGAAGGGGTGTGTGCTGAGGACACAGTCTGGGCAGAGAACTCTCCTGGCGGGGGGTGGGGTGAGGTGCGGGGGGGAGTGGGGCGGTGTTTACATGGCTCTCCTGCCAGGCTCTTGCTAGGAAAAATGACTGTAAATCTCCCCAGACCCTCTTTGCAAGGTGTCTTCAGCTAAGGGAATGAACATAGGCTAGGGCTGCCAACTTAGCCAGAGCAAAGCCTCCTGGGCAGCCAACATGGAATTGGCAAACAGATCTACATTAAGTGGGTGGGAAACAAAATTCTGGTTCTCTTAAGCAATCAACTTTTCTAACAATGCAATGGGAACATCTGCTGTGATTGGGAAGCCAGTCCCTTGGGAAAGCTGATCCTCTCATGAAGTGTGTTCTTTCATCATAGTGGTCTGGATTTGATTCCCGCTCCCCCTCACCCCCGGCCTTGAGGGCAGAGGCTATGGCATATTCATCTGTGAGACCCCCCACTGCACTGAATGCAGAGGCTTGTAGTGGAAGGGGCTCATGATATTTTTTCGACATCCCATCAGATGATCCACACGGCTTAAGACCTGGTCCCTTAACAGGGGCCATGTGTCCCAAGGTTCACCTTGAGCAGTGCCCAGCAGGAACATTCTAGTGCATTGACCAGTTGACTGTTGGCAGCTTCCTCTGTCATAGAAATGAGAATTCTTCCTTGGCTCTAAATTTTTTGCCGCAGGCTCTGGGTATTGTTTTGACAGTGTTTGGGGTAGTGGAATGGGGTGGGTGAGGAGAAACCTCTGACCCCACGAGACTTACAGGAAGCCCAGCTGCTCCCGTTGGTCCTGTCATCCCAGGGTCACCTTTGCTGCCCTGAAACAGGAGAAAGAAGCCCATGAGCCCCCCCGATGTAATAACAACTTTCCGTCAATTGTTTTCTGTTTTAAACCTGGAACACCTCTCTAGGTCCCTTGAAGAGCCCTCCAGGAAGCAAAGGCTAAACGGAAGATTGGGGTGACTGGTGTGGACTCTATCCTAGGAGGAGGTGACTGGTGTGGACTCTATCCTAAGAGGGGGCTTGGAGGCCCCTCACTTTCCCTCTAGTAAAGCCTATCCTCCAAGGTTCTTCAGAAGGACGAGGCAGTGACCTGGGGGTACTGGCTGGCCAGAGGCAGAAGCAGAAGCAGGGGAGGAGATCAATGGGAGGAAACAGGCATGGACGTGAAGGCAGAGAAGAGAGAAAGGGAAAAGAGAGAGAGCTGTGATTTCTTCTTTGAAGCTGCAAGTGTCACCCCTCAGAGCAACCACCCTGGTTGGACGAAGAGGCTTGCTCCATCTAGGAGGAATGGATGAAGGCTCATGTAGTGACCCTGTGGGTCGCAGTGCCAGGGCTGAGGACCTGAGGCTGAGGAGGGTCGCCCAGGCTCCCTGGTCACGGAGCACTCACCCTCTCGCCCTTTGGTCCCGCAGGGCCTGGAACTCCAATTGGTCCTGGAGTACCCTGGGGGGAGGTGAAAGAAAGCAGAGGTGAAGGTCCTGATGCTGGGGGGAACCTGGGGAGCACCCCCCCTTACTCCTGGAGAGGATAAAGGTCCAGAGGCCCAGTTTTCAGGGTTGGCGAGGCCAGGCTCATTCAGGGCAGTCCTTCGACTGGGCTGTGTTCCTGTTTGGCTTTGGGGGCCTTGGGGAA